CACGGGGGGATGTGGGGGTGGTGTTTTGGGCATTCCAGGAGAGAAAATTCAAGGCCAAATAGAGACAGAGACAGACAGAGAGAGGGAGAGAGGGAGGGAGAGAGAGACACAAGCCAGTAGCTTAAATGTGTGTTGATATTCAATGAAACTTGCAAAAAAGTCGATAAAAGATTCTCTGGATATCGACACCCCAAAAAAGGGGTCCATCATCTCTACAAAAGAAATCTATTCTGCATTCCTTTAATTTTGTACAAAATGTATCTGGTTCGGGTCCCTTGCATTCTGTGGACTCAGCAGAATGCCCAATGGATGGGGCGGGGATTGTATATTATTCTAAAGGCACGATCTCTGGCAACCCGAAACCCTATCCCCTCTGGAGACCATTTTCTTACGAGTAGAATGGACGCTCGGTCGCTTCTTAGTTTGCCGTCACTCACATAGTATTTCGCTGAGTACTTGATCTAAAAGGTTATGCCATATACCTGCCATCGGAACAATGGATATTTTCGAATTAACTTTGGCTTTGGACCTTTTCGTTTTGCAGTCGACTCTAAACTAAATCGTAACTGATTCGAAACTAATGCCAAAGGCTACTAAATGCCCCTTGGATGTCGTGGACAGGATCGGGTCGTAGGTCAGTGTTTAATTTCAAAGATAATTGAAGCAAACTTCACTCAGAGTTGGATTTAATCAAAATGGAATTACTATGTCCATCAGAGCTGTCCGGAGGGGGGGGGTGCATCGATCCCCCGATGCGGTATTCGGGGCTAACCTTTTCGTTCCACTTCCACCTCTTCTTTAATTATTTACTGTGTGTGCCAGTATGCCATTTCATTTACTTTTGGCAGTTCAACTTACGTTGTTTTAATTGAATTTAAAACGGAGTCAAAGTGCTAACCAGATTTGATTACTATATCCCCAAGCCAGACTTTCTTTCTTTTTACAAATTGGATTATGAACCAATTTCTTTTTGTTTGCTCAATTATTAATAAATATTAATTAAATGTTGTGCTCGATTCTGATATTTTTAGATGCTTTGCCAGAGAGCGAGAGCGATAGAGAGAGAGCCCCGGACTCGTCGCCTGCTGTACTCTTTTTGCACTCACGCACACGGCCACTTCTCTCTCTCTGTCTCTGTCTCTCTCTCTTTCCCCCTCTGTGTGTGTGCGTGTGTGTGTTTGGGCACAAGATGTCTTTAGACAAGGTAATGCTTTTCACTTCATTTCTTTTTGGCTTTGCGATGTGTTTTCCCAAGGAATGTTTTTGGCAAATGATCGTAAGATACGACAGGTAGCTCGAAAAAGGGGAGCGATATGTTGTTTGTTGCAAAACGAACGTTCCACAGATCTTTCCTATTATGGTGAGTATTTGTCGTGGGATAGCTACGTCTCGATTCTGTTTTAATCAAGGGAAATGCCTGACAACCGAGAATCAATCCTCGGGAACTGTGGCGGGAAATAAATCATGAGCCGGGGCGAAGCGAGATTGTGCCTCACCTTGTCTTTAGACACTTTGCCCATGTTTTTTTTTTGGCTTTGTTTTTTTGGAGAGTAGGGTTTTTTTTGGGGCTCTCCCGTCACTCCCCACCCCACCCCGAACTGCCCCTTCAAACTTCTCTTCTCTTTTACCTTCGAACAGCGAACTGCGATTGACCAACATGCTCGACGCCTTCGTCAGCCAGCAGTAGAAACGAAAGAACAGAAATACGCTGGGCAGCGACGCCACTGCGCTGCTGCTGCTGCTGCTGCTCCGGTGCGGGGGGTGATACGCCGGGTGTCGTCCAAGAGGGAGGGTGGGTGGCGAGCTGTGCTGACCTTCTTTCTCTCTTTCTGGTGTATGGGGTTTCTTTTTGTTTTTCTGCTCGGTCCCGAGACCGAGAACTGTGTTAGCGGCAGCGGGCCAGCGCCAGCAGCGCAGTCCTGTAGGGCACCGTCGGGCACACACCTATACACACACACACACACACACACACACGCACACAAAAACGCGAGAGCACGAACAGGCACAAACACGCGCGCGCTCACGAGAGCGCTGGGGCGTGGGGGCCAGCAGGGGAATACACAGCCCGCAAATAAAACAAAAAAGAATAACACAATTTCGTGAACAGGAAAACCGTTTACACACACACACACACACGCTGTTCGCTCAATAAAATTATTTATTTCAAATAACACACAAACGGAGAACCGCCTTGCGGTGCAGCCACGGGATGCCCTGAGCGTGAAAAATAAAAAAAAAATAATGGAAGTTAAATGGAAGTTGGAAACGCGCGCGTTTTCATTTATTCCGCGTTGTGTTTCTCGGCTCGGGCGGCTAGCGGTGTTGAGTATACGGTGTTGGTATATCGATATATACGATTCTCGGGGTATGTTGTATCGATATTATTGTGCGATAAGAACAAACTTTTCTCAAAACCCCAGCCAAGTTAGCACAAAAACATTTCTGTAAGTTTTTCGTTGTCCGCAAATGCTCAGTTTTTCGTTTCATCAGCGCTACTAAAATTTCGTGTCGTTTTCGCTTCGAAAAACAACAACACGCACACAGCCACACAGCCACAGAGCCACAGAGATCGAGGGAGACGGCAACAGCGACAACTATAACTGTATGCACTGACAGCAAGAGAGGCAGAACACAGAACACAGAACACGAACACACATTGAGGCAACGAGAGTGGCTGCACAGCCGAACGGAGAGAGCGAGACACAGCCAGAGGAGGCCGAAGTAACCACAAGGCGTATCAAAGCAAGGTAAGGAAGAGCGGCGGCCAGAGCCAAGCCGTCTCATGGCGCGAGAGAGAGCACATCGCACAGGGAGAGAGAGAGAGAGAGGAAACCGAGAAAACGAGTACGAGGCAGCAGGTCGCGTGAGGTGAAAACCGCTGTGCGGGGTATGTGTGTGTGTGCTGGCATGCGCGTCACTCGACGTCGTCGCCGTAGTCGTTGCTCGCCGCAGTCGCCATGCGGCGACGATGATGATGTATCTGGTGCCGTGCCTGCACAGTGGAGCGGAGAGGAGCGGAGAGGAGAGGGACCGGTTGCATCTGCATACCACTGTGCCAGCCACACGCCAAGCGGCAAATTGGCAAATGTTAGCGAGCGGCTAGAGAAATATAGAGATGGAGAGAGCACACCGAAAATGATATTGAGACAGCGGACAGAGAGGTAGAGAGAGAGAGAGAGAGAGAGAGAGAGTGGCTAAAAAACAGATTACTGATTAAGAGATAGATTGTACGTCACCTTGTACCAATACACACCATTATGCGAGCGTATCTGTGTGCGTGAGGGTATCGGGGACGCATACCGACAGTGGGCCGCACAGGTGGGCGCACATTTCGTTCGCTGATAAGAAAAAAACAAGGCAATAGCTGGGTTTCTTTGGAAAAACAAGAAGATTGGGTATTACCATTTCTATGCCATGGCCTTGCCTTCCAACGAACAGCAGGAAGATTCTGTGTCGTATCATAGATAATCCCAATTGAGAATTGGTTTATCAATGGATCTGGATAGATTTTAGGCAGATAGTAATATTCCATAATCTTTACTGCTTCTCTGAATGCATTTGGGATGCGATGCAGGTGGATGGGTGGTACAAGTGTGTGGTGTGGTGTAGCACACTTTTGGGCAGTCTGGGAATTGCAATCCATTGCACGACACTCGCAGGTGCATTCATGAAGAACGGGCAATCACAGCATTCTGCGATACAAAAAAATACCCCTAGGTTTTCCCTCATCCAAAAAATCTATTTGCCAATCTGTATCTGCATCTGCGCTTCCCAATCAAACTTTTTTTCCTACAGCAGCTACCAGCTGATATTTAGTCCAATGTGACCAGAGCTTCCCAGAGCGTGCAGCGCCCTGCAAAAGGCTCGCAAACGATTCCTTTGCGAGCTTTCATAAATGACACTTTCATTGCCACAAACTGAACGACATATCATATATCATATATATCATATGGTGGTCCAAATGCGACGGTTTTGTCGGGTTAAGTCTCGCATTTGGGTTTGCTGGGCGCTCAAGACTCCTCCCTAATCTATTCTTTAGGCAGATTGTTAAGGAAACCACGACGACGGCGAGATCTAGCGATCTTAAGGCAAGGAATAGAGGCTATGTGTCTATGAGAGGAAAAGAACTGCAGTGGTGAAGGTTGAATCACCCACTTTTGAACGGTGGATTATCACAAATTGTCACATATCCTTAAGAATAATTATCCTAAATAGCAAAAATCTAGGAAAATCCACTGGGGAAAACTTACAAGATACATAATTCTAAAGGTACTACTCCGTACCTCCCTCAAAAGACCCATACAAACAAAAAACGAGGAAAGGTGAAAGAGGCTCTTCGTTCGATTGCCTCATGCAAATATAGGATTTTGAAATCATCGATTGAAACAGGATGCGTCCCGCAATACAGTGTCCCATCTAGGTTAGGTTAGGTTTAGGCGGTAGCCTGGAAGGGGGGATAAAAAACCCCGCCCCACCAAGCTCGCTTGGACCTATAAGAGGTCCATTGTGTTGCCTTCTCGTTGCCTGAACCGTGAGAGCTGACTACTGCAGTCCGATCCGGAGGCTTGGATGAATTTGGACAAGGTCCCTGGTTTGATCTCGGACAGGTCCGTGAGGGAAGCGGCCCCGAGAATCCGAAGACGACGATTTCCAAGGGCCGGGTAGTGGCAGCAGAAGTGACGGACTGATTCCACCTGCAGAAGTCGTTATGGGTTCGTTAGGGATAGTGTCCCATCTAACTTTCTATGGAAAATGACAGTCAAAGGGATTCGGTGTGGCCTGGAAGGGGGGGAGCAAAGCGGAGGATGTTACAATTAACGATCTAAAGATCTAAGTTTACAAAGTGGGAAGTCAATCCCTCAAAAACGAATGCTCCCCGCAAAAGAATGATCTCATTTGTAATAGAACTGATTACGATTATTTCTTATAATGGTCGATGGTCGACGGTCGATGGAGTACCAGGGGGAGGTGTTATATTTCGAGTTTTGTGGGGTACTTACTGCATGTTTTGACGCCTCCCAGCACCAGACTCGGTGACTGTTTGTTGCCCTCGGCAAAGGAGGAAGTTCTTGGACGACCGCTCATGGTGACGCAGCGCTGCTTGCTCACTTCTGCCTCTTTGCTGCTGCTGCTGCTGCTGCTGCTTCTCCTTTCTCCTTATATTGCTTTGTGCTTTCACCTGCTCTCTCTCACTCTCTCGCACTCGCACACACACTTTTTAATTGCTGTTTTTTTGTTTCAATAACAAAATATCCCGGCTGTTGTTCGGTTGTTCTTAAGATGGCGGGCAAGCCCTTCTTTTTTCGATCAATGGACGTGTGCCTTGTCTTGGTGGAGGAGTAAGGAGCGTGTGTGTGTTGAAGTGTTCGGGGGAGGGGGGGGTTCCCCAATATTCAGGATTGATTATTTTCCTCTCTCCCTCTCACTCTCTCTCTCTCTCTCTTTGCCACACGCTGTTGTTTTTTTTTGCTGCTGCTGCTGTTGGTGACGCTGCATCCACTGCTTTGTGCACTGCTTGATCCTACTGCTCCCACTGCTTCTTCTTCTTCTGCTGCTGTTGCTTCTTCGTTCCACTGCAATGCACGGCCATTGGCATGCCACGAACTTTTTGTCTGTTGTCTTTTGGCTTTTGCTTTTCTTTTATTGCCTATTCCTGTTGTTTTTGTTATTGTTTCTTGCTTCTTTCTTTGTTGTTTTCACACACACACACAGACACACTCGTCAAAGGATCAAAGAATTTGTAACTGTTAAACGGCTGTAAACAACATAATAAATATACATATGAAAAAATACCAGTTAAACAATAAAAAAAAAACACAGCACGGATTTTGGTGGATACAAAAAAATAACAAATCGAAAATCTCGCGCGCGCGTCACGTCACGTGTCTTCCTGTCGTTGTTGTTGTTGCTGTTGTTGCTACACTGCTTGCCGCTGCACTGCTTCCTCTCTACACCCACACACAGAGAAAACTATCTCGTTTCTTCTTTCAATAGCACGTTTTTGGCGATTATTTTAATTGTCGCTTTTTTGTTCCTTCATTTGTTCTTCTTTCTCTTTCATATTGCACAACACTCACAAACACAAACGCGATTCAACTGCAGTTAGTCTGTTATTACTGCTGCTTCTCTCTCTCTCTCTCTCTCGCTCTCTCTCTATGTTTTTTTGGCAACACACACATCCACTTCAAGCGGAAGCAGAGAGTACGCTATGCATGGGGCGGCGTCCAACCTGCAATTAGAGCAAAAGAGAACAAGAAATTGGCATTTAGTTGTATGTATATAAGCAGGTACATATACATATGTATATATCGATATATTGTATGTATTGCAGATGACACTCGAAGACTTAAATACCCCTTGAAGACCAGTCGAGGCGATAGGGAACTGCCTAGATTTCAGAGACTATAGAAGTTAGTAGCAGCGAAATATGCTTTAAAAAACCATAAACCAGTGTTCCGAACCGCTTTTCCCCCGATAAATGCACGCCTATGGCATCGTGCTTAGTCAGGCACACGACATGCGCGGGCATTTCTTTGTTGAAAGCAGTTTGTAAGCAGTGCAAATATGTATTATTACCATAATTCCATTTGAAATGTATTTAATTTGATTCTTTTGCAAGTTTCAATAATGCTACCCGCTCCTTCCCCCTCTCTGTCTCTGTGGGTCTCCCTCTCTCGTGTCAAGGCAATAAATTGGACCGTAATTCACAAACAGATGTTAATCAAAGCAAAAGACCAAAGGGAGGAGAAAGCACCAGAGAGTAGGAAAACAAAACGAAAGAACCGACTGTCAGTCAGTGCAGTGCAGTGGCGTAGTTGTAGGGGGAGCGGGGGAAAGGCCTTTGTCTATGGCCTGCTTGGGCGTGGCTCAAATTGGTCGATCCATATGGGGGGCTCGAGCCCCCTCCCTCGAGCTTTTATCGCTGAAATAATTGGAGTAATAATATTAAAAGGATAACAAAACAAAAGCAAAAGCATAAGCAAAAAAAAAAACACCAACAATTCAATTAAACGTCGAACTAAACGGTCGGAAGGCAGGCTGATTGAGTGGCTCCCTAATTGACTGTGTACATTACCCTCCCGAGAGAGTGGAGAGAGAGAGCGCGAGAAAGAGAGAGAGAGAGAGAGAGAGAGAGAGAGCGGAGAGGCATGGGCATGGGCCGTGTGCCAATTGCAAGCGACCGCCTGACAATGACACCATTTCATTTTTAAATAGATCAACAACAACAAAAGCTCCCAAAGAGAGAGAGAGAGCAAGCACACAGCAAAGAGAGAGAGCACATAATTTATGACTCTCAACCACGCAAAAGCCGGCCGCGGCCCCAAAAAAACTGCATGCAATAAATTCTATGCCAAAAAAATTACGGCGGGGCGGCAGGGCCAGCACTCTCCAAGAAGGGACTGGAGGAGGAGGTTGGGTTGGGGGGGGGCTGGACGCAAAGTAGAGAGCAAGCGAGACAGCAACAATGGCGACACCACGACGACGAGGACGCGCTGTCGTCATGCGACGACGACGACGGCAGCCATTTGACCCACAAAAACCAAATGCCGCAAAGTCCCCGTCCCCCCCCCACCCTTACCCACCCTTACCCACCACTGCACCACCCTTTGTGTAGGTGACACACAGCCATAGCTTACATTTCCATTCATTCAATTAGCTCTCATTCAAAATTTGACCAAAGAAAAATGTGTGCAAAAACGAAGTGAAATGAGGCGAAGGTCGTACGTCACCAGACCACCCCCTTCCCCCCCAACCATACAGGTGTTAAGGGCAAAAGAGGGAGAGGGAGAAAGAGAGAGGGAGGGAAGGAAAGCAGGGTTCCTGCAAATGATTTTGATTTGATTTGATGGAAGCCATCCACAAGAAATTTAGTGCTCAAATGTAAAAAACACACACTTTCCAACACTTAACCAACACTAGCCACTAACATCAAATAGAAAAGGGATGTGAAGATAGGTTTTGGTGGTACAAAACATATATATTTAGTTTTTGATCATCGTGGACTCAAATCGGCGCGAGCGATCGAAGCGAGTGAGCCGGTGGTTGGCGTACGAGAAGAAGCATTCCTCACACTCACACTCACACACGCACACACACACAGATCATCCGCTGGTCGTGCGACGCAAAAGAGAATTCTCGAGCACCCATAAACAAAATACATGTCGTGTACTAGATCAGAATGCTGTTGTTACCGGGCATTAGGTATACATCGATATTAATCAATTTAATATCAAGCGCATTATTTGTGAACCAAATGAAGAAGGAAGAGGCGTCGGAAGTCGGTAGAATGCGAAAATATATGTTTAAGGATCTCCTGGAAAGCGAATTTATATCATTTATGGAAGGGCTCCATTTATGGGACAGGGTATGCGAGGACGATAGACATGCTCCTCTCCTAATGAACGAGGAGGACCATTGGGGGGCCTGGGTCCTGTCAGGCCAAGTTTTTGTGGGCCCTAAAAGCCCCGACATTTGATAGGGGTAGAAAAAACAGAAGGGAAACACTATATCCTACAAACAAAAGAGAACAAAATAAAAAGGGGATTTGAAAAGCAAACAATTTTTAAAATCGAACATTTCTTTGAGGGAAATAATTTTTAAACAAATATTTTCTTGATAAAAAAAATTAATTATTTCAAATATTTCGGTTGCCTTAATTTGTGTTGGTTTCCCATCCCACTTGCCTTTTTTTTTGTTGCCAATTTACCCCAGAAACGGGGTGGGGGGCGGGGGGGATGCCATCATCAATGGAGGGAGGGAAGGCTATGCGGATGGCTATCAATTATCGACCGCTGGGGTCCGCCCAGGATGGTCGAGAGAGTGGGGCAAGGCACACACAAAAAAAAAACACAACAAAAATAAATCAATGCCCAGTCAAGGCGACACTGGGCGCTTGAAACCGCACATAAGAAGTGTGTGTGTGTGTGTGGGGGTGGGGGGGAAGGACACTCAAAAAAGTATGCTATGGCATTTTCTGGCAAACAGCAGGGGCTTGGGGGGGGGGGGGGTTGCATCCGTCAAGGTTGAAAGCGTCAAGGCAAACATTTTGGCAGCAGCCACAGATGCCGCATGAGGAAGAGGTCTGCACGAGTGGAAAAGCTCTCTGGCTCTCTCTTTTCACAAGAGAGAGGGAGCGAGGGGGAGAGAGAGAGGGTAAGCCTTTGAAATCGAACACCAAACTGAAAACTGAGGCCCCTGCCACACGCGCGACTCGGAGCGTGCCCTTTTTTGTTTTCTCTATAAACAAATAGGAGTTCCCCCATGCTGTCGCCCATCTTTGTTTGTTTATCGATCAATAAAGCTTCAAATCAATATTATTTCTGGCATCTGGAAACCCGAAACCCATTCGAAAACAATTTAATTGCAGCCCAGGAGTACAGGAAACCATGGCAGCCTCTGGCGAAGATTCGTTCAAGGCCCACAGCTCCTCAACACCCTTTGGTTGTGGCAGGAAGGGATCAGGGCATGAACTCGTTTGATTCCAAACATAATTCACAGATTGCCCGGCACTGTGGCATGTGGCATGTGGCATGTGGCATGTGGCTCTTCATCGAATGTCCATCAGAGCTGTCCCGTGGGGAAACGACTCCACCTCCACCTCTATCTCCATCTCCATTACATATTTATTGAATTTAAAAACGCAGCCATATACCATATCCCCACCCGATCTTTCTTTCCCCCTCCCCAATATCTGTTTGTTGTCGCCAATTGGTTTCTATTTTTAGGCAAAAAAGGGGGGCCGGGTCCATTGGGTACTCGCCCCCGCAGCAACAAAAGCTGAAAGCTGCTTCTTTTCCGCACGTCACAAATTCCTCGGGCCCACCACCACCACCTCCACCTCCCCCTCTACCATGCCCCCCCTCTCGACCTCTGGCCGTATTCCACTCTCTTCGCGCCGGCTATTTTCGCGTGCTTCTCACACGTATTTTTAGTTGCTTTATTTATTGATACACGCGCCCCAATCAGCAGCCCAAGAGGTGCCACAGCAGAAGGCGGAGGTGCCACAATCCTTTGCGTGTTTTCTCTTTAGGTTTTTGAGGGTTCTCATTCTCATCCTTTCACCCTAAAGAGGACTTTGGTGCCCAAGGGGCGAGAGAGAGAGAGAGAGAGAGAGAGAGAGAGCGAAAGAGCGAAAATAAAGACTGCAAAAACTACTGACTATTGATTTAGTGTGTCTACTGCTTGGCACTGCTTGCACACGTTGCGCTTCGATCTTGGACTGCAGAACTGCTGTTCTTAAAAGTGAGCACTGCTTCCCCGCTAATCACTTTCCGAACATTTCGAACGGACTAATGGACTTCCATTCCCGAGCCTGTTCTTTCTACTACACCACTCGATCGACAGCTGTCTGTAAAACAAAACAAAAAAACACAAAAACAGCTGTTGATAAAATGTTTCCACTTGACTGGACTAGCCACCAATTTAGCGGCTAAAACAATTTACTACGGTTGAGTCCCATCCCCGACCATCCAAAAAAAGATTCTGAATCACACCAAACACCAAACACTTTTCGAAACGCAAGAGCTGGGCCATAGAGCCACAAACAAAGGTAACACTACGTAATGTCATGGAAATAAATATAGTATCTGTGTACGTACATATGTATGTAATGTATATTAAGCAACAAAGAAGTCGAACCGAACACGAAACCCCACCAA